GTAATAACAATAAAATACAAATTAAATAAATAAATTAAATAGAATAAATGAAATAAATATAAAAATTTGTAAATAAACAATTAGAAAACGATATGTAAAAACCCACAAACAAATAGAAACCCAACAAAAACGGCAAAACAATTTACCACTACAAACTTCTATCGCAAACTTTCTTACAGGACGTTCCTGAACTAGGACTGTTTATTCAATTTCCAAAGCTTTCCACCCACCTCCCTAGGTCCTCAGATATGGACATTACATAGGGGGTCCTATCTTAGAGTCTTGAAAGGGGCGTTAAACCATACCATAACTTACTACAGCAATCTGGACACCACATTTGTTTAACTTCATACAACTGAAATGAATGGAAACAAAAAGTTGGGTAATTCTATGCAGGTATTTGGGAAGTGTGGTGTTATAAAAGACTGAGCAAGACCAGATGGGCAGACAGGAAAACCAGCGGAGTCGGCCAAATATTAAGAACATCACCACGGCTTCCAGACAAAACTCAGTATAAGAATACTGCAGTTTTATGACCACATAAAGAGATACAACACATATAAAAAAAAGAAATAGGAAGGCAGAGATTACTATCCTAATTTGAATCTCTAACTAGGTATTCTTGAACTCTGGTCACTGTGTGGTTTTCAAAACTCTGAGCCCATTTGGCTCGATCTCATCGGAGATGGATGTTAAATTCGAAAGTCTTGCCTCTTATAAAGCCATATTAGCGTTGAAAGGGGCGTTAAACTCATACACTCTTACAATTATTTTTTTTTACAATCCTGAGCTCACAAATATCTCCGCCACTGGAGCCCACACACACCCATGCTGAGTCGCATAAACAGAATCACAGACATCAATCTTTTCGTGTGCGCACAAACATATTTGGCAGGCTCCGTTCGTCACGGCCAGCATGTTTTGATCACGATGACTCTCCAACAACCCCTGGCCCATTTTGTTGTTGTTGTTTTATTGTTTTGTTTTTGTCTCCTTTATTTTTGTTTTTGTTTTTCTTTTGCTTTTGTTTCGTACTTATTTTGTTTTTGTCTTGTTCTTGTCTTGTTATGTTGTTTCTGTTTCTGTTGCTGTTGTTGATCTTCTTTGGTTTGAAAGTAGGGGGGGGGGGGGCT